TTTTTTTCTCGATAATTAGATAGGGCTTTGCTTAAGATCACTGAGGATGAGTTTTCCGGACCTCCATTTGAAGTAATCTGTCCCTGTTACTCTGTGATTTATACATGTATATTTTTTTTGTGTGTTTGTGAATCTAATCTGGTCCTCGTTTCTCTTTTTGGGTATAATTTACAGGTGCTACTTGAATTGGCATTAGTATTGGTTTTGAGTCTGTTTGCTGGATTAACAGTTCCAGGGAATTTCCGATCTATACTCCCAGATTCAGATGAGAACAGGTACTTTATATATAAAAAGCGGTATTTGATTTAAACTTAGGTGAAATCTGATTCTATAGTTAGTTTCCAAATAAGTGGATACTTGATTCTAATTGGAAGCTCTTTTTTACCAATTTTTTGTTATTCAACTGATAAGTTTTCTTCTTGGATTCTTAGGTATTGCATATAAGTCTTGTATGAATTATGAAACACCTTATGCTTAGTTTTAGAATTAGAAGATCCATTGAGTTGAAATAACTCAGCATTACAATTTGTTCTCCTTTGGCCTCTCTTGTTTTCCTTCTTGTTCTCTGTTGACCAAACTTTATAGCACAAATTGTATGAGATCTTTATTTCTATTATTAGTAGTTTGAAGCATTTGGCTTAATTGCATATACCTATTATATTTTGGTATCATTAGCACATGTACACTTTGAAAAGATTAAGGTTTTAAGTTTATGCTTGAAGATTTTTTACTTTGCACATTTGTAATGGTATGTGCTTTATTGCTTACTTCCATCAGCTCATCAAAATTATCTTGAATTTCTTGTGCTTTTTCTTTTATGTTTGCATCATCTTCCATCTCAATGAAATCTTTTCTATGTTTCTTTTAAGTTTATGTTTGCACATTTGTAATGGTATTTTGGTCATTTTGCATGATTTATAAATTTAGGTTCCATTTCCTTTGACAGTTTTACAAAGTAAATAGATCATATCAAAGGAGTTGATTTCCATTCCATTTCCTGCCAACCAATGTGTGTGTGTGTATTGTTTGAAGGGGCAAAATTGTAATTTTTGAAACTTGTTGAAATGCAGGGTTGTGTCTCTACCCGCAAATATGAACTTTATGATCTTCAATCATCGTGGAAAGGCGTTCTCTACAGAAACCGGGTTAAAGCTCAACTGAATTTAAGAACCAAGACTTTTTTTTGCTGAATTTAAGAACAAGACCTTTTAGTATTTATTTCCTTTAAATTACATTTTATTCTCTTGAGACTTGATAGATTGTGTATGTGTCATAATGTTGCATTAGTATTGTTTTAGATATTTGATCATATGATAAAATGATTTTGGTTAGCTGTGTTCAGTTACTATTTTGTGACTTTATTTGAGTGTTTAGTTGAAATAAAATAAAACAAAGTAAATAAAAACGTGCTTATTCACTCAAAATAAGCAGTTTCTCATAAGCTGTTTTTTTTGTAATCAAAAGGGCATATCATAACATCACTAATACAATCATTATCTCCATATCAATCAGTCATCTTAAAGATTTCAGGTGTTAATGCAACAACAGATTCATGTTTCAATATAGTGACATTACACAAATCATGTACTCAATGAAATAGCATCTTCAGTTCAACATCAAAAGTTAATTTAAATTAATATGGATTAGAAATTGTAAAAAGTAAACATACTTCACAAGAATTAACAAAATTCAAAAGGACAATGCACAATAAATAACTTGTTCAATTGCTCAAAATAGTTTCTTTGCATGATAAAGCTACAATCTTTTCAAAACTATGAGGAACTACTATAAAGATTCACACAGAGCACCTACACAGATCTAATGTCTATGTATATCATAAAGGGCAATTCAGTAATTTCATCTCTACAACTGAGCAAGATCCAACCTGTTCTCCATAGATTGTCTCAAAATATACTCAGCCCTCCTCTTCTTCTCATCCATCACATCATCACGCCCAAACCATGATGAAATCCTTCCAGTACCCCTATTCCATAACCTCAAATCCAACGAATCACCAATCAGTTTTCTTCCATTACTAAAATTCAATCGAACAGCAGGTCTCTTATCAAGAACATCTCTTTCAGTTTCACCATTCTCACCAGATTCAGAAACCCTACTATTCAAAGCTTCAATAACAGGTGCAAACGCCTCCAATATAGACACATGATTCTCCAAATTCACATCATTCACATGTTTATCTGACAAAACAACTGGCTTCTCACTAAATCCAAATCGGATCTTCTTACAACTGCCATTTGCAACCTCAGAAGAAGATGATGTTGGAGATGATTTAGACAGCAATCGTTTTTGTAAAGCCAACAATGAGTTTTCTGCTTTTCTTCTTTGTCTAGCGAGCTCAACTTTATCTGATCTTGGATCTGAAGTCCTCTCGTTCCATACAGCTGAGTGAATGTATGTATGGGGATCTGGAAATGCAGGTAGCCAATCAGGTACGTGTTTGAACTCTGGTGTTTCACCCATTTGGAGAAAACTTGGGGTTAATCTTCTATCTCTAACAATCGGAAAAGTGGGAATAGGTTGAGCAAAAGGAAGTTCGTCTTCTTCAATGGCTTCAACGTACTCCATGATCTCCTTCATGGAAGAACTAGAACGGATCAAATTTGTACAGGTTTCTGACCCGCCTGGAAACCCGACAGAAGAACTCAAATCCTCCAAGCTTTGAATTACGTCGAATACATTGCACTCTGTTCTATTGGCTACATTAGCGTAAAACTTTGAGGTTTTCCCTAAATCTTTCACGTACCTGATAGCAATATCGGCGAGAGACTCTAGAGCAGAATCGTTAACACTGTGGAAACCAACACGCTCGCATATCTGAGCTACTGCTACTTTTGCTACAGCTCTACCGAATTCATCAGCGGCTACTCGATTTTTCTTTTCATCGAACTCGTTGTCGTCTACTCCACCTCCATTGCTCATATTCAGACTCTCGTATCATGAAGGGTTTCTCGATAACAAAATTGAACTCGTTCGAAATCAGAAACTTGAAAGAATTGGAACCCTAGTGATGTGAATTGATCCTGATATCACAATTTGGGAGATACAAAACAGAATTGAATTCACAGCGTACCGTTTGTTTCGTGGGAATTTGATATTTGAAGGGAATCACTACAAATTCGCCTATTGTGCAATCAAATCAGGAGGTTGGAGATCCCAAATATCAATTTTGAAGAGTAATTCATGAAAGTGATTTTGAATGACTTGATGAACCCTAGATCCTGATTGATGAGTAAACCATGAGAGGGGGATGGTATTTATAGAAGGGGAGAAAATTACGAGTAAGGGTAGGAGTTTTGAAAAGACGATACTACCCACTAAATGTTTGCCCAAAAGAAATATTTTTCAAGAAATAATTTGTTTTTTTATACATGTTATTTTTTAAAGAATTTAAATATTCTTTAATATTTCTTCCTATTTCTCTTCTTACTCATCTTAAATGTCATATTTAAGATGTATATTTAAGATGTATATAGGAAGAAAATGTAGAATGATATTTATTTTTTTTTATTTTTTAATATCTTGATTTTTAATAAGATTAAAATTCAAATGTCAAATTCCATATAAATGAAATTAGGAGGCGATAGATGTTTGGCAATTCTAACTTCACCCGAGGTTAGATGTCTACTTCTAGAAATGACTCCCAACATAAGCAACGATAGCAGGGAATGGCACAATAAGATGGTGTAATAAACATATGTAAATTGTATACCCGTTAAACATAACACAATCTCATCTATAAAACGTGCCCCGAGCTCCGAAGAGAGATAAAGACATATAACTGCCAAATTCACCCCCTCGATATGTAATTACACAAAGTAAATCATCTATCAAGTGATTTACGACTAGAATAAAGCCCTCCTGTTAAGTGGAAAAACTCACATCATTATGTCTCGATAAAATCACAGTAGGTCTCGTTGATCAATGCTATCTATTCTTCACTGTGATCCTTAGCTACATGTTCATTCAAGTCAGGTGACCGTGAAAGTATCCATCTAACATTGAAATTTATTTATTGAATTTTATTCCAATAATGTATAGTTTTAGTGATTTGATTAAGTGTTCAATAAGCATGAAGAAAATGTTAGTGGATGATTAGGATCAAATGACCTTCTAATTCAATATAGGTCCTGAAGGAATTGGTGATCTACTAAAACCCGAATAATTTAAAGAGTTCAATTAACTAGACCTTCTTTTCCTAACTCATAAGTGGGGCTGTGCAGAAAACCGCACAAACCGCATAAACCGCCCGCACCGCACCATACCGCACTGCATAACGCGGTTTGGAACATTAGCGGTGCGGTTTGTGGTTTTTAAATATGAAACTGCGGTTCAAACCGCACCACAATATATATATATATATATATATATATATATATATATATATATATATATGATAACCAATCGCTCGTGTATATATATACAAACAAAAGAAGAAATAGATTGAAGGATAGAAGTTCATCAGATTGCATGGTTTTGAATTGATTTCATAACGAAAGTAATTCTAATTATTGATAATTGTGTAGAGTATAGACGATAATTATAGTTTAACTTCTATGTGTGTGACAATTATGATAGAAAATTTGTTTTTTGTGCTAATTATTTAGATGTTTTTATTTTCATTATGATTATATCGTATAATACTTTTATAACATATATAATTTTTTAAACCGCATAAAACCGCACCGCACCGCTCAAAACCGCACCGCACCGCATAATGCGGTTTACATGGTTCGCGGTGCGGTTTGTGGTTTTCGAAAAACTCAAACCGCATATGTGGTGCGGTTTGCGGTTTTGACTCTAAACCGCACTAAACCGCACCGCGAACACCCCTACTCATAAGCATGAGTAGAAACCTTAAAATTTTTAGGGGACCGTCAAAGCAAATAACAACAAAACGAGGGACTAAAAATGTAATTAAAGAAAATAAGAAAAGCGGATAAGTCGAGATAAAGGCACATCCTTCAGTTTCATTTCATCCCTTACCTCCTTGTTACCAAAACCCTAGCGCATACAGAGAAGATCAATGGAGAAGTACTTTGGAAACGCGTATAGAGGAGACCCAGGTGTTCCACACTCTGGTCCAGAGAAATTCCTCTGCATATGGGTCGGTTCAATGGCTTACTCCGCCATGGCTTGGTCCAACCCCTACATGTGGCAACTCTCTAATAGATTCAAGTATTCATACACCTCTCTTCCCTTTTCAATTTCCATTTTTTCTAACATTTTCGTCAATTTCTCGATGCCTTCCTTCGATTGTGTGTTTTGTTCGTTTTGTTTCTCATCGAACGTAATCACTTCGCTGCTATTTTAGGCGTAAACAGATCGAGATTTTCTGTTAGGGTTTCTAATCATCAAAACTCACAGAAATGTTTTTCGTTCCATGTTTAAAGTCCCATGAAAATTTCACTTAAAGTTCAATCAGTATTGGTAAACAAAAGGAATCGCTTGATATAATTTCTGTGTTCTTTCTGCTACTTACTTTTCAGAATGAATTTGGGAAAGCTTATATATTGTCATGAATTCATATATATCATTTGCCCATCTTACCGTAATGTAGAATCGAAGAAATTTATCTCCTTTTTATCATGTTCTAAGTGCAATAAGCATTACACAAACTCAAATTTTTATGTTTTAACCTTGTATTTGTTTGATAATCGATATACTTGAATGTTTAGTTGGCATGATCATGCAATGCTACATGAGCAATACCATTGGAAGAAGGCAATGCAAAAGAATCAGCCATACAAATTTTCGGTATGTATATATGTATATGTATGTATAAATATGCCAAAATATTATGAATTTGATCTGAGTTTTTTTTTGATTAATTTGCTGTTTATAGTGGAATGAGAACTGGAGCAAAGAAGCTCGTGATTCATACTACTACAACTGGCCTGTTTACTTCCCTTAAGGTTTTCACCTTCATCAGCAAAATACAATTTAAATAATTTTGTAATTTGTAATGTGAGATCTTGTGGTTTTTGTAAGAAATTTTAAGCCATTTGAGACAGCTCTGGCCTCAACACTTCTAAATTGATATTATTGCTCCTTATGCACACACAAATGCGAATGTCTTAATAAAAATAAGTTCAGTAATATCAATAACAGTAACTAAAAGATATAAAAAAAATGTTATGTTATAGTAAAATATTTAGTATATGATATTTTGATTTGATGTTTGGGTATGGTTTGAGTTGAAAAAGCTATGGTGTTAAAGATGATTGATTTTTATTTTTTTTAATTTATGTTGTGGTTGGAGTGGCATGATATATCATGGTTGAACCAATATGTGGAAAAATACATGGGTTGAGTAGATATTAAATTGGGGTTCATGGTAAATATGTTTAAAAAAGATGTCATTTAAATGTAAGCTACATTACATTTATCGTTATTGTGGTATGTCAAAATTTACAGATTTATTTATTTAACATTTTTTAATACAATCATTGTAGTTTTATTTTGTTATGGTTTTCATCAATGGTAGATGTAAAATGATTATTTTGCTTTCGTGAGTTTGAAGAGGATGATGTATGTTAGAAAAGAACCATATTACACGAAGTAAAAACAAACAATGAAAACATTCATGAAATTCATTTCAAAGAAAAAACGACATAAAAAAATACGGAGTTTTTTTCTTAGCGAACATAAAATGCTGTTCGTTTGTCTATTCAAGAAAAAAAAATATAAACATGAAAACAAAAATATGTTTGTTTATGTATTTGTGTTCATTTACAGCTCACGACTCGTCGATAAGAATAGAAATTCCATGTTAGAATTGTAACAATTTTAAAATTATGAGTGAAATTTGAATATATATTAAAGTTGAAGGGCCATTTCAGCATCTTTTTCTTTGCATGTTTCCAGATATATCCACGGTGATGATCGATCATCTTCTATAATTCCTATCCATAAAACAACACCATTCATAGTAATAACAATGGCAGCTGTTCAACTTCATTCTCCCGTTCGATTTCGAAATACTTCGAAGAATTATAGTCATGTAGTTGCTACCAGAGCATCATCATCATCTGTATCTTCGAATCTACCCATTTCAACCCCCAAATCATCAGATTTCAGTCGATTGATTTCTACACTTAAATCCGAGTCTCTGAATTTTGCGTTATCCGGAACCCTAGCTCTCGCAGTATCTTTTTCAGGTATTTATTCATCTTCCATTTATCTTTTTGTTATCCAAATCTCAAATTCGTTCCCTGAGGGAAACGCTACATACACAATAACATTCTACAAAAATCTCACTTTAAGCAAATTGTGCAATAGCAAATATCTCACATCCAGTTTCGATGAAGGGTATTGAACAAAATTTCGTGATCATCACTTAAAATCAGCTTGATTTTAGATTGAGTTGCCTTTTGAATTTACAGTTATTATGTAGGAGTTGGATTTGCTGAAGCAAAAGTTGGGGTAAATAAGCCAGAATTGCTTCCCAAAAACTTCACCACAGTCATTGATGTTGCAGGTTTCCTCTCAGATGGTCAGGTATGCCATCATTTCTGGTATCAAATGTGTGAAATTTTTTAGTTAGAACTTCATTTTTGCATAATTTTGTTCAGGAGAAAAGGCTTGCAAAGGAGATTGATTCAATTGAAAAAGATACCGGATTCAAGCTCAGAGTTCTAGCTCAGAACTATCCTGATACCCCTGGTATGCTAAATTGCTAATTATCTTTAATAAATTAGTATTTTTCTATCATATTAATTACTTTGTTCATGCAATTTTATCACACTTATATAGGATTAGCAATCAAAGACTTCTGGAAAGTTGATGATAGAACTATTGTTTTTGTAGCTGATCCTACATTTGGTAAAGTTTTCATCTTTCATAATCTTTTAAATGAATAATAATAATAATAATAATAATAATAATAATAATAATAATAATAATAATAATACATTAATTAATTTAAAACAATGCAGGAAATATTTTGAATTTTAATGTTGGGGAGTCTGTGGATTTGGATATACCAAGAAGCTTTTGGAGTCGATTAGCAGGGAAATATGGGAATATGTTTTACTTGAAAGAAAACGTAAAAATGCTGTTTTTTTTTAATGTTTTAACTTTTACTTTTATAAAATGGTAAATAAATTTTATTATATAAATGAAATAGGGAGAGGATGCATCTGTTGAAGCTGCAGTTATGGCAATATCTAATTGCTTAAGAGAACCGGTGGGAGCTAACAATTGTGCAGAGGTAAAATAAGTGGCAAGGTAATTATGAAGAGTGAAAAAAAAACTTTTACAACTTGTAACTCATTAAATTTAATATCATGAAAATTGTAAAAATTGTGTTATACCAATATGGGGTATGTATTTTGTTTTTTACCCATAATAGCAATGTAACTCATTTTCTATTAATGTCTATTGATATTTTATGATTTAATATGATTGTTAGAAAGCATCATCTTAAGTTGTTATTGTGCAATAGTTTATGAAAAAGTTTTTGATTAGATGTAATTGACTATGGAATTATTAAAGGCTAATTTTGTATGTATCCCCAAATTGTTTGTTGTATCCTCCTCTGTGTGAGTTGTGTGAGTTGTGAGTGACTAAGGTGTTGTTTATTTTTTCGAAGTGAAACTGTCTGATGTCTGCGGACCACCTCTGCAGCCCTCTGCAGCAGAAGAGGTGGACCAAAGTGCTGCAGACTGTAATGAGAAGCATGTTTGTTTTTTTAACGTCTGCAGGCTGCTGCATATATTAAAAAATTTAAAATAAAGTAATTTAATAAACCGAAAATAATTTTTTTATACCAAAAATTTAATAATTGTAGTCTTAAAACATTGAAATAAAATTCAAACAACCAAATTAGTCTTACAATAACATTTTTAAATAAAATTCATACAACCAAACTTTAATAATTCTCATTCCATATTTTGCATCAATTGTTCGGCAATTTCATCCCGTAACTAGGTCATATATTCATGGTCCGCTGCGCTGCAGTACCATGTGTTGGAATCTCATCTTCATCATTATCAACGACTGCATTGTTATTCCGAACCGAGACATTTGGTTCATCATATCGTGCAAAATACTCATCACTTAGTCTCTCTCTTCTTACAAAATTATGAAGCGCAAAACATGCTAGGGTAATGTTTCGTTGTGTAACCAACGAGAATGGTGCCATCCTCTTCAATATAGGGAATCGTGCTTTCAAGACACCAAAAGCACGCTCAATGACATTCCGAAGTTTTGCGTGTGCATGGTTAAATTTTTCTTTATTCGTTAATGCACGTCTTCGACGGAAATCTCCAAGCCAACACCTCACATTACGGTACGGTGCCATAAAACCTCGAATGTTTGCATAGGCGGCATCACAAAGATAATATTTATCTGTACAAAAAACAAAAAAAAAGTCATTTATTTTTCAAACTAAGATAAAACTATTTAAATAACCATAAATTTACCTGATGGTGGAAGCGGGAATGGTGCATGTGAATTTGCTAATGCTTCTGATAAAATTCTAGAATCGTGTGTTATCCCTTCCCACCCAGCCACAACAAACGTAAACATCGTGTTGAAGTCACATATTGCCAATACGTTTTGGTAACAATCGCATTTTCCCCTACTCCTATATAAATCCAGTTTGTTTGCAGGGACAACTACATGTATCAAAGTGCCATTAAGTGCACCAACTGCTCCCTTGAACACCCGCCGTAGCCTCCTATTATGTCCCGGAATGTTTGGATTCAGATTAAAAGAAGTTGGTACTATAATGTCATGTGCGAAAAGCAACATTTTGTCCAAAACTTCATGAAAAAACTTATGAATTGTTTGCTTTGAGTGTTGAAATCTCCGCTTGATAATCACATAACGTTGGTTATGACCGATCATCATAAAAAACATAGCCATCTTCTCCTCAACCGACACATGCTTGCTATCCTTTAACGTGTAGTTTACTCTGAAATGAGCACATAGCCGGACAAATGATTCACGAGACATGCGTAGCACTTCAAGACATTGTAGAGGATTACGGTGAAGTAACTCTAACGTAAATTCATGTCCCGTCATTTCCGAATCGTTGTCCCGCACTCGTTTGACACCCCTCTTCCAAAAGTAGCGGACGTACAAGTACATTAGAATTATGAGTAGTATCTTTTTGTCATGATCCATTACCAACCTATTAATCAACAAAACATAACATGACATAACATAATAACATAACATAAGATTCAAGTACCAAAAAACATAACATAAATTTCAAGTACCAAATAAAATAACATAATCTCAAGTACCAAATAACATAAGATTCAATTACCAAAAAACATAATATTGAAGTACCAAATACTACAAATAACATTCAAGTAGCAAATAACGAAAAAACATAACCATATAGTTCCAAAACATACCATTAAAACCTAAACAACTCAAACATATAAACTTAACGAACAATTTTTCCATCCTTTAAAACTCCTAAACTTGTAGCTGTCATCTCGATCCATCCTCTTAATATTTGTGGATCATTGGGCAAATTTACCCACATCTCTCTTATATTCATGGTCCCTCCAAAAATGTGATACGCAGCAAATCGTAGAGGGTCTACTGGGCCTAACTCGAGCAACTCAAGATTCTCCAAACATTGGGGAATTGTTGGCCCTTGAGTCAAATGGCATAGAGCTTTTTGCATCTCTAGTGCTAAATCATCAGCAGTAATAGAAGCTTTAGGCGAGGCACACGAAGGTGGATCAGGTGAGGCACTAGGAGCTCGAGGTCTAGGAGTTGAGGGTTTAGCCCTTTTGTTGGGGTTAGGAGATGGTGAAGCAGCAGAAGGTGAATCAGCAGAAGGTGAAGCAGCAGTAGGTGGTGGTTGAGTAAAATGCTCACTAGTATGATTGGAAAAGTAATCATCTTCATCTATGTTAATGGAAGGGGCGTCCATTAACTGTAGCGATGCGACATGGAAAGAAGATGATCCCTGTCCCGATGGTGTTTGGGATGTGGCATAGCTGAGATTACCAGATGTACTGTTTCCATCAAAGAGTTCTGCACAAAGCTCTGGAAACAACAATGGGACGGTTTTCAAAGAAGCGGCTTTCGGATGTCCCTAAACCCAATCAATGTAACAAAAGTAATATAAGAATTAATGACAACTATATAAAGAATATACATATAAATATGTGTGTGTGTGTGTGTGTATATATATATATATACCTTTTTAAAGTCCTCCCACTCCTCATTTGTTAAGTTAAAAGTATTTGTTTGTGGATTGTAAAGGTTTCCAGTTTTTTTTTAAGTATAACCATCCTGTGTATTTGGCTTTAAGGTTATCATAGACGTTTTTTAATTGTCGTTGATTCAAATCCACGCCATACTTTTCCTTAATGGTTGTTCCTAACTTGTGTCATGATTGTTTGTGCAAACTCAAACCTTTTCTACCCACGGTTTGTATTTCTTCAATACAAGTGGGCAATAAGCATTTTGTTTGCTCATTGGTCCATGTATGTTTATCTCCCATTGCTAATAACAAAAAAAATATAGAATACATACTTTAGCAACAAAGATTAACCATATTTCAACATAATCAATAAATAAGTTTAGCATATTCAACAATTTAAGCACAAACTTGCAAATAAGCATAAACTTGATCTCCATTCAAGAAATACAAGTGATAACAATTCAACAAATAAGTTAAAAAAAACCATTTCAGCTAATGATTTCAGCATATAAACTTGCATATGAGTTTATGATTTCAGCATATAAGTATATGATTTCAGCAAGGATTATGATTTTACCCAACATTCATAACAATTCAACACAAAAATTCATGAACCTAAACATAAATTTGAGCAGAAAATCTTTTTAAAGAACAAAACACAAACTCCTAGAATTATAACAAAGCACTAAAGCTGAATTTTAACTCAAGTTATGGCTCTAATATCTCTAACTGCTAGAATTATAACAAAACACAAACTTCTCAAGTTATGGCTCTAATATCTCTAACTGCTGAAAAACAGCCAATTATGGCCTTATGAAACCATTAAAATCATGAGATTATCATCTTTTTCTTCAATCTTATTTCATAGTTTCAAAGTTTCAGAAAAATGAATAAATTACCAGTGAATAAGAAATCAGAAAATTCATGAGATTATCTTTAGGCACTCAAATAAGAAATCAGAATAACAAAGTTTCAGAGTTTCAAAGTTATTTCAGAGTTTCAAAGCTTATTTCACAGCTTCTCTCTTCAATCTTATTTCATAGCTTCAATCTTATTTCACAGTTTCAAAGTTTCAGAAATATCATGAGATTATCATCTTTTTCTTCATATTTAGGTATTCAAATAAGAAATCAGGGAAAAAAACTAACCTGTTGATGTTGATGTTGAAGACGATGGCAGGCGGTGGATTGGGCAGCGAAACCAGCGACCGGCGACCAGCAGCAGCAACCGGCGAGCGGCGAGCAGCAGCAGCGAGCGGCGAGCGGTAGTGGTGAGTGGCGCTCGGGTTTCTTCCGGTCTTCAACAGCGTCGACGACAAGGGAGAACGAAGAAGGAGGACGTTCGGCTACAATTCTTTTGTCCGTGTTTTTTTTGTTATTAGGTTTAGAAGTGGTGAGAAAAGGCAAGCCCAATGTTGCGTGGGGAAGAGGACGGGAAGAGGTTTTTGAGCCCGAAGCCTTCTAAAAATCAAACTGCTGCGAACTTAAAAGTGTTGCGCGTGTGCTGCGCCGCGCAACACTAAGAGGTTAGTGTTGTTTATGTTTGATTTTTTATTATTATGTGAGTGAGGGGTACGCATAGACGGATTTACATTGGCTTCCGAGATAGTCCAGGATGCCCCTCAAAAAAGTTTAGTATATTTTTTTTCGGAAAAATTCGTTTTATGTTGCGGTTATACCTCAGAAAAAAATTAGGATACCCTAAAAAAATTCAGGTTATTTCTAAATGATCTAAAATAGAAACTAGCGCAAAAGGTCCAAAATTTTGAAGCCCACACCAATTAGTTTACTGTAACAAACAGGTATAAGCCCAACTAGTTTAATGAAAAAAAATGGGACGTATTGTTGCCAATTACCGAATCATCGATCGACTTCTTTCTGACCATCGACTCATCTTCTGTGATCGTCGACCTCTTGTTGCCTGCTGTCGGTGGCTTATTCCAGCGACCTCCTCTGGTGGTGAGTGACCAAACTCATCAATGTGCACAATGAAACAAGTAAGTATTAAAAAAAGTACTTAATCCTATTATCTTTTGTTAGGTTAATTCAAATTCTAATTTTTTTTCATTATATTGAAAAATTTGAAATTACCAATTAGGTTTGTTAGTTAGGGACTTACAGTTAATAAATACTGATTATTTATTGTTGAAACTTGAGATCAAGTTATAGTTGATATATTTTGATTGTATGTTGCTATTTGTTGTTGAAACTTGAAATCAA